TTGCTGTTTTAATATAACTTTGACGTGTAAAGTCTTGTTTATGCATTATTTACAAAAATAAATTAAATGCTGAAAAGGTAATGTTAGCCAATAATTCATCTAAATTATTAATGTTATAAATGCGAAAGTAATTCTGTCTGTCTGTCTTTTCTTCACGCCTAAACTACTGAACCCTTGCAGTCAACAGAATGAATTTGTTGTTGTTGTCAAATATTTAATTAAAGTTAGCATTACTTTGTAGTGTCTATTTCTTTGGTCATTAGGTCGAATTAGAAACTATTCGATTTTTACTTATAAATATTGCAACCGCCGTAAATACTTTGAAAAACATAAATATTAGTAAAAAACATAGGGTATTTTTAGAGATTTCATTATATTAGGCTAACAACATAAGTATAACTATTCTACCATCTTAAAACAGGCATAATGTCACATATACATCGTCACTCAAAGTTTCTTAAAGGCCGGACAATACGCACTTGTTATGCTAACCCCAACGGTCCTAAATATTCGGAAGTCCCTTGGACCAGACAAAACAATTCCAAACATTGTTTATCCATGCACCGCCATACGGGCACCTTAATAGTCCCCTAGGAATATTATGGGGTTTGTGAAAGATTTCGCCAAAATCCCTTTCGAGGATAGTTTGTGGTACCGTTACGGAGAGGTTTAACGTTTACCTTATTATGCATATGATCCCATAAAGTCGAGCTGTTCATTTGTGTCATGTGCTGCTCGTACAAAGGGGGTATTCAGTTTTATAGGGTGTTTCATTCAAACTACTGATTAGGGAATTGTGTACTGATGGCATGTGTTCCTGATTTGTTTGGTTGATGAAATTATTTTGGTGCTTTAGAAGCTACGCTACGAGTTAACCTTTATTTATTTTATTTTTATTTATACACTTTATACAAAAGAATGTACAGGCGGACTTAATGCCTTAGGCATTGTCTAACAGTCGACCTTCAGATGGTGGACAGATGAGAGTGGCAGGTGGCAAAAGTATATATAACAAAATTTTATGACTATATGATACATACATTACTTAGATAGTAGGTATATACATAAACATATAATGAAAATATGAATATCATAATATAAATAAACATCAGGAAGGGTGTTGTATAATACACAATACTTAATATAACTATAAAGTATAAGTACATCAAATACATATACTACATAGAAATATATAAATAAAATAAAAATAAGTAGTTATGAGAGATTTGAATTCGCCAACTTTTTAAGAAGATGCTCACGCAATCTTGTTTTGAAAGAAAAACGACTGGTTGCCATCCTAATCTCCGTGGGTAGTGCATTCCATAGCTTATTGTTGCTTATAAAAATACGAATAATTGTACTGATAAAGTCAAATATACTTTTTTACTTAAACTGTTTGGTCGCGTCTGTATTGAAAATTGTACAAATGTAGTTAGTTTATGTGGGTCAATGCAATACTTTAAGAAAGTACTGAACACGAAGTTCTGTTTAGCAAAGTTGGACCAGTTTACCGAGCCACGGGCAACAAAGCAAAAACTTTTCTCTTATATTTTTCACATGTTGCTTACTAGAAATTTTTAACTAAAAAATATTACTAGTAATAAGTTTGCTTTGGATGTTACAACACAGTACAAATGACTGCACGGTAGACGCGGAGGCTGGACAACCAACTTTTTTTGGCAGGGGAAAATCATTAAATTACTTCTCCTGCCCAGGGTAAAGCGAGAGAAAGTGTCAGACTCTTACTGACTAAAAACTGGACAACAGTGCAACGTGTTGCGTGTTCGATGCCCGCACGGCACGATTCTTTGTGTGATTTACAAAATGCTGTTCCGGGTCTGGATATGGTGCGTATGTCAGATTATTTTTTTGTAAACGCGAAAGAGGAGTGCCCAGTGTGGGACAAGGATTTAATAAAAATCTTGTTAATTTTTCTTTACCATTCAGGGACATTCATCTGTTTCTTATTATTAATCCCCAAAATGTCGGCAACTAATCCGTGTATTGGTTTGGCGATAAGACGACATAAGAAAAAAAACGATTCACACCAATCAGGATAGGCAGTACATTCTAAATGTCCTAATTTAAAGTCATTAATCAAATTGCACATCACAAAATTGGTTTCACCTAGACGAATCGCAATCACGAATTTGAATTCGATCTTTGCTTCTATTTAGGTATGTATGTATTTGTGAACGATTAGACCTGTGTGTACCTATGTAACTACTTTGATATGTTTAGTGAAACTAGGTTGAGGTCGAAGCTAGATTTTAACCAAATTCGGCTAAGTATCTTAGGGATGATGTTCGAACATTTTGCTCTCTTTCTACTATAAGAATATTATGCTTGTGTACGTGGTAGAATTCATTGAGTGAATCCCTAATAGTCTTTCAGGGCTTTTTTGTGAGGGAAAATTATTCAATGTATTGCTACGGGATAAACCCGAGCAAAAAATAAAAATCTAAAATTAGAAATTAAACAACAAAAGTTTTTAAACAATATCAATTTATTGTTAAAAACTATACAACAAAAACAAGGCGTGGGTTCTACGCCTACTTGGTGGCACTGTCACTGATGAGCGTTTACAATAATAAAAAAATGTGGGTATGTACGAGACGTGGTTGGCGGTGTTGGTGGTGGCCACTTAACTATGGGCGAGGCATGAGGAAGAGGCGCTTGCCGGTGCCGCTATCCCAGTCCGGGGACAACGCGGCGGCTATAGCGCAGTGGCACGGGGCCAGGCCCATGACGCTCGCCTCCACACACGGGGTTTCTAAACTCCGTACATGGTTCTCAAGTTCGACGGGGCCTTTCAACTCCGTCCGTGGTTCCTAGTTACGAGGTCTTTCAACTCCGTCCGTGGTTCCTGAAACCGCCAAACAGGTAGGGTGTAGTCCACCGTTGTCCCAGAATGTCCTGGTGACCACCGACCAAATCCTATCACAGGGCCCTACGGTCGGTTGGTCTTTTACAAGGGTGGAAAATTAAAACATAAAACAAAAAAATTTTCTCACAAAATAAAAACCATAAAATAATAAAAGAGGTAGGTAGTGAGAGATAATATTAAAACCCTACTGTTGGTTTTCAGATCAATTTAAAGGTGATAAAAATACAACATAATTAAGTTAATTGATTTGGTACAAAAGAAACCAGATCAATCATTAATAAAAAGTCGTCCACCCTCAGAAACTGCCATGGCGTGTCATATTTTAAATTCGGAAAAGACGGTGATCGTTCTTTCCTTAAGGCGAAATTATATAAAAAAATAAGAATAGGACACGCCACGCACATGTTCAAGATGCGACGAAACAGGAATTAAAACCGAAATAATACAGGATTCGTGTCATGACAAGAATGAGAACTAGAATAAAATTATATGAATATACCCTCACACGAAAATAATAAATTCCAACAATTAAATATTATACTCGTTTCTTAATCATGAACACGGTACAAATAACTTATTTAACAAATAGATTTAACGAGAAACCCCATGAAAGTTTATAAATGTAACCGTTACTAACGGCACAATTTAAATTACAAATAAAACGAAAGTTAGAATACATGATTAATTAACAGTCACTAAGCTCGACTTACACATTTAAATATAAATCTGTGCAACAACACTTACCCTTTGCAGGGAACCACGGAAACACTGAATTTAAATTATTAAGCCTAAAATTGGCTTCTGCGAAAATTATGCAACACAGTACGTTTGTAGGTCGGCGATCAGGATTCCAGAAGAAAGGAAAGATTCTACTCGAACCCGCCTTATAAGAAAATTGCATTTCATAGACAATTATAGTAGGCAGAGACACATATCTACTTCTTTTTATTAATTATCTGACCTCAAGGCTAACTGTCCGCGGGCGATTATCCATTTATAAATAAAATTAAAACGATTACCCGCTATTATTGACAAAATTATTTCATCTACCGCACATTGATTTTATTATCGATTGGGTGAGTCTATAATCTGTGAAATGACAACTGACGTTGACATTTCACGACAAGCGTAACGTCACTTTGATGTGAGGTTTGACACTTTGCAAAAACAACAAACACAACATTATTGTGAATTTAAACAAATAAAATTACATCCAATTATGTTATTTGGAATGCTAAACGGAATGAATATCAACTGAATTAAGGTAGGTCCCAAGTCTAAGGTTTACAACGTTACAGTATTCTTCCGCCTACGGTGAGGCAAGAAGGGGGTGTCCGACTCTTGCTGACTAAAAGCCCCCTGTTCATTGTGCCTACACCGCACCGACTGCCCATGAGCCATATAGGGTCCCGTCTGTGGTGGTCTATTGGAAATTATTTGCCAAGTCTGGATGTGATATTTTAGTGGATTTAAATGTTTGTTGTTAACACAACCACAGATAATCCAAGCTCAATGTTTTAAATACGTTATAGTAAGTAGTTAATAAGTTCACATTCTAATGAAGCAGAAAAAATAAACGAAGCTGCTTAATGTGATACCAAACCAAAGATCAACATGTTTTACTTTTTTGTAAAATATATGTGAGACTACACATTAACATCAATTTTAGTCCAAATATCTTCTCAAAACTTTTGGTAAACACAAAATATACGAACATTTCAAAACACCGATATTCTCGAACAAAATCAGATCGTGTCACGAATATCAGGACTGGCACTCTGTTGTTCTATGTTAATCTCAGAGGACCTATTCCATAAACATCGATTTTGCTTTTAAACTTATGTGACATGTGCTTTATTCAAGAAATAAATACAATATAATAAAGGAATCGTAGCCGCAGATACGAATCAAATTAATGTTTCATAAATATTATCAAAGATAACACAAATTCCAGTAATGTTGAGAAAGTACATTTACTCAACTTACAAAAATGATAAGTATAATAGTGTATATATAGTCTCGGGGGTGTGAAATAAGGTTCGACACACGATCAACAGTGAAATATATATATTGTGAAACTTTATACAGGTAAACTTATATTAAAACAACAATTATGCAAAAGTTCGCGGCACAAATACAGGGGCGCGTGCGTCACGGTCGCCGGCGCGGGGACTCACTCCCGTTTCGCGCCTACGCAAGCGTCGAGCGGTCAGTGGCGGGGTAGTGGAAAAAGGGTGTGGCGTTGCCTATAACGCCACGCGCATGCGTCCGACACAAACCGTTTAGGATGCCGCGTTACAACCTCCCCCTCTGACCTAGACATAGCGCCCTCGCGTCTAGGTCAGTCTAGATAACGTTTAGGTCTTCCACGCCTACGCTTCTGGTTTACAGGCGGAACCAATACATCGCCTACGGAAGGGGCCAGCTGAGAGACGTGGTACTTACCCAAAATCTCGCCACCACCTACTGTCTCCAAAATATGTATCGTGGGACTAACGATCCGCTTAATCCGATACGGACCTTCTCGACGTGGTATAAACTTCGGAGTTTGTCCACAGGGAGCATCGTTGCTACCCTGGGTCTTTAAACGAACCAGATCTCCTGCGGAGTATTCCGGCGCAGGGCGACGTTTCACATCGGTGTAACGTTTTGCTCGGTTCCTACCATGAACTTCGCGAGCGTGATCGGAGGTAACCAGAAATGCCGTTTCTGGGTTTCCCTGTTCAGGGCCGCGGTCGGACCGACTCCTCCCCCTGAACGGATCGTGCTCCGATTCCTCGCGTTGAGTTTCGCGAATGTCCGCTGCCGCCTTCATCAGCTCCATACTGTCGCCAGTAGGTAAAGCGGAACTGGTGGCGAACGGATGCCAACTCGGCTCGTCGTTAAAACACCAGCTGCACTGTGGTAGATCCAACAGGATATTCGCTTTTATAATAAAATCCCTACCTAACAACGTCCTAGTTCGTGCCTTCGGTAGCACCATAAACGTGGTAGGTATCACGCGTCCTTTCAAAATGACGTTAACGTCACACTCCAACGCGGTGTATTTTTGCTGTGACCCGTCAGCAAGACCAATGGTACGCAAAACCTTCCTAAAGGCCACGCCGGCATCAACAAGCAAAGAATATAGCATAGGGCTCGCAATAGAATGTTTGGCACCTGTGTCCAGTATGGCCACGCCCTTACGGTCAACTACTTCAATGTCTATCAGCGGTCGCGAATCAGCGTCGCTCGCATCTACGGTATAAGCACTACAAAAATCTGCTTTACTCGAGCTAAGCGTAATTTTACACTTTTCGCATTGTGATCGCACTACTCCCAGCTGACCACATCCGTAGCAACGTAACTGCGAGATATTATTACTAGAATTACTTGAAGAATCACTATTTTCCTTCTTTTTACGACAGTCCTCAACTGTGTGCCCTAAGCGTTTACAGTACGAACACTTCGGTCGCGTACGTTTTCGTACGTCGTAAATATTATCATTTACGTTAGACGCGGAGGCCTCACCTGACATGGCCGCATCGCGTGAACTTACTACAGATTTAGCGCTACATAATGATTTTGAACTAATAGGTTCGACAACGGTATTTGCAAGGGTAGGACTCCGGTTTGTGTCAGAACGGTCACGCGTGGCGCACGAGTCAACAAGGCTCGTATGATTATTATTATGAATGGGAGAACTTACCTCCGCCAGTGACTCCTCGACTAACCTGACTTTGGTGATGAGTTGCTCCAGCCCGTCGACGGAATCACGGCACACGCGTTTTCTAATTCTACGATCTAACAGTCCGTATACAATGTCCAACTTCATTATCTCCGGTACTACGTACGGTAATTTGGATAACAAAGCGCGCACTTTACAAATATACACGTCGGCCCGTTCACTATTTTGTTCGGTAGCGAAAATGTCTCTAAAAATCTTATAACCGGGTCGCGGCACTCCAAACATCCCTCGAAGTCGCTGCAGGGCGTCGGTCCAAGACGTAACCGACGACTTCACTCCTTGCCACCAGACGGCGGCCTCGCCAACCAGCAGCATCGGCAGCCCGCGCAGCGCGTGCTCGTCGCTGACGTTGGTGCACTCGCGGTAGACTTCGATGGCCTCTATAAAAGCTTCGAGCTCATCCGCGTTCCTCGACGATCCACTAAAGCGCGCCGTACACTTCGCGAAGTTACCTACGCGTGGCGCGTACGTACAAGCGTCGGCGTCTTCGCGGCGCGGTGACGCCGCACTCGGCGGGTTTCTGTTTCCCGCCAAAATAGTTTCAATCAGAACTCTGTTTGCTTCCACTTGACTCCTAGTGATGTTGGAGACAAGGGTGTTGAGCATATCTGCCGACATTATATAGTTCGGTGACGAAACCACAGTTCTGTTCATCTCGACGTCTGTGTCGGATTCCGATCCCTCATCTCTTCCAGTTCTTCTCTTCGGCGGCATGGTAACAGGAAATTCGCGCTGATACTCGCTCGAAGAGCACGGGTGATGGCTTCAAGGATGGTAGGTAGGTACGTTGAGTGAGCCGGTATGGTAGGTATATACCAACTGACGCCGCCGGTAACGCGCGGGAAAAATGGACTCGCCCAAATTTGTTTGCGTAGGTATTTGCGCTGGTTCTGCGATAGTTCTTGTGTGATGCACTATCGGAAAGGGTCCACAGCATGTGTTTGCACAATAGGAACACTAGAACTTATCGTAACTTTGAGTTTTTATGCACTTTCACTGTTCGTTCACGTCGATCGTGGCCCCACGTTGGGCGCCACTATAATAGTGTATATATAGTCTCGGGGGTGTGAAATAAGGTTCGACACACGATCAACAGTGAAATATATATATTGTGAAACTTTATACAGGTAAACTTATATTAAAACAACAATTATGCAAAAGTTCGCGGCACAAATACAGGGGCGCGTGCGTCACGGTCGCCGGCGCGGGGACTCACTCCCGTTTCGCGCCTACGCAAGCGTCGAGCGGTCAGTGGCGGGGTAGTGGAAAAAGGGTGTGGCGTTGCCTATAACGCCACGCGCATGCGTCCGACACAAACCGTTTAGGATGCCGCGTTACATAAGTAATTTATTCACTACGAGATAAGATACAGAAAGCAATAAAACGGATTTTCTACGGAAAATTGTAGTCCAAATGCGGATGTTAAAGGAATAGGTGTCTGAAAATGCAATAGAAACGTACAAAGAATTCCTTTGAAATATATTTTAGTTTCTTATACCTAAGTTGAATTTGTATTTTACAGAACAACAGCTTTTAAAACCTCCAAACACTGGCCAAAAACTATCAATTAGATCTAAATGTCTTTTTAGAATCGAAAAACAAACAAAATGTAAGTTTCAATCCAACTGCAGCGTCCATCCGTACCCTATCTATTCAAACAAAAAAGGATCGTTGTTTTTCTTAAACAAAATACCTAAATTCATTTACATTCCAATTTTAGGGGCTACTTTAGATTAACGCCGTCGCTCCACGTACAGCGTTCAGAATATGCCTACACCCGAGGCGCTGGCGAATAAAATTTTATTGCCAGAATTCTCGTTCGTGTTTCCACTAAAAATACATTTTACGTCTGGGTTTCCTTTGGTATGAAAATTTGTAGCGTTCGCCCGCCAACCGACTACACACTGCGTAACACACTCAGCCGTCCTTGTGCCAATCATGGATGCCGCGAGATGCTGAGAATCAGATTATGTAGGTTCCTTCCTGTTACGTGATAGCTGTGGGATAATAATATTGTACACACGACAAAAATACGTTTATACATTACAAAATATTCTCCTATTTACGGCTCTGCATCTATTTTTGTCAATTCAATTTGCTAGCATGATTTTATTTTGAGTGCTACTCAATTAATAATGGTATAATAAAAAAATAAAATCTTCGAAATAGGAATGTTTATTTTCTACCTTTTATGGGTCAATCTGGTATTAAGTTGCGATTCAGGGATTATCGGAATAAAATTAGTCTCTCTCTACGAAATGACGCATATATTTCCAACTTATCCACTATTGTACTTACGCGTACAAGGGCTAGTGATAAGGATTATACTTAGCCAACTTAGATTTCTGCTTATTTAACTAACTAGTTAAATAAGTGTGGGAGAGCCATGCTTCGGCACGAATGGGTCGGCTCGACCGGAGTGATACCACGGCCTCACAGAAAACCGGCGTGAAATAACCACAGCGTTGTGTTTCGCCGTGTGAGTGAGGTTACCGGAGGCCCAATCCTTCCCCTCCCCCAATCCCTCCTAAATCCCTAAATCTCCAAATCCCTAATCCCTAAAAGGTCGGCAACGCACTCGTAACTCCTCCGTTGCGAGTGTCCATGAGCGGTGCTGATTGCTTACCATCAGGTAATCCGTCAGCTCGTTTGCCGATATATTAAATAAAAAAAAATCCTTCTAACCGACTAATATTAGAACAAACTTTTTTCCTCAATACAATCAAATTATTCACTGAATTACATGAAAACAAATAAAATCTATGTTAACAAACTTCTATTTCGGTATGAAGTTCTACCTCACAAACAGCTGAACATTTATTTCCCAGTTAAAAGTCAGGTACATGCATTTCAGTAAAGTAATGGGAAATAAAATCTGCAATTTAGCAGTAAGTAGTAGCATAACGTGGCGTTGTCTACTGTATTATGCAAACATTTTGTCTGCCGTCGATTTTTACGTTTTACATGGAACTACCGATCAATATCACATTCAGTACGTAGGTACGTACATATGTATATCTGTCTGTGAGTCGCAAACTGCCGCCGACTTGATTTCAATTTTTGGAAGCTTTCCAGTGTTTAAGTGCTACTCAAAGTACTCTGGAATGAATGGGAGCCGAGAAATTATTAGAGTGCCTAATTTCCTCGCGACAGTAACATATCGTGGTGTAATTGTATACTTGAAGTGAACTGGAAATCTCAAGGACCTATTGCTGCTTAATTTTTTGGAACAAACTCATCGCTATGTACATAATATTTGCTTTTAAAGACGAAATCCCTTCACCGACTGCAAAATCGAAGCATTAAGTGCCTAGTTCATTTGTATGTGTAACGCGGAGAGATTTGACTGCTAATTTAAACAAAATTCCGCATTTAACTGTATTAAAGTTGTTTAATAATTTACTTGTAAATTACTTGAGCCCTTACATCTGCTTAGGCTTTTTTTTTTTTTTGTGAGGGGAAAATCATCAAATGACTTCTCCCGCCCAGGGCCGGGCAGGAGGGAGTGTCAGACTCTTACTGACTAAAAACCCCCCTGTTCCTTCTCCTGCTCTGTGCCGAGGTCGCGGTACCTCATTGCGCTTACCCCGCAACCCCGGCTGAACATCAGCCCTTTAGGGCCCCGTCTGTGGTGGTCTATTGGCTCTTTGAGGCGCGCGCGGAACGCTACGCGCCGTACGCTCGGGCCTGGTTCTGGTCGGGCGGCGAGCTGCCCTTACTCGCCGACCGCAGGCCCGTACTTACGGTGGCCGGAGATCGTCCCTCGATCCCCGACGCCCGTAGTGTCGCCAGTTGCGGCTGCTGGGGCGTGAGGAGGAGGATTGCTCCCTCACGCGGGCCGCCTCTCTCTTTGCGAGCATGACTGCTTCACAAAAGGAGGAGACGGCGTCCCAGTTCCTCTCACTCCGCACCATGGCCTCGACTAAGGCCGGGCGCGAGAGGTCGCCGCCGCCGATCACTTCC